GCGGGAGGCGCCGCCGGCCGCGGGAGGGAGCGCTGCGGGCCGGGGCGCCGGGCGGGGCCGCCGGTCCTGCGCCTTCAGCCAACCGTGAAATCCGGCACCAGGCAAACCTTGGAGCGCCAAGGCTGCGGAGGCGGTTTACTGGCGCTTTTTTGTGCACGTATCCGTCTCCAAATCATGCCATAAACTACTGTAACTAGCACAATCAATTAGTAGACTGACTGTGTATTTTTCAGTGCCTACTAATGATTTTTTTCGGTTTGGATTGTTTGGATCCACAAGTGGGAGCAATTTGTATTTCAGTAAAGGGTCGTGCAGCAAATTAGCAGTGACAAGTGGAGAATAACGAAGATGTCTGTAGGAAAGTCCCATTGTGTTGGCGGAGCTTTTGTAATTTCAGTTAAACTGCGTGTCCTCTCCCAGTGAAAAAGTAATTTGGCAAGAAAAAAAACTTCAGAGGTGTTTTATCTGGGTTTTTGTTCATGTCCATCACTGTGATACCAGTGTCCGCCCTCTGGGGTAAAGACCCCACCCATACCAATGTCAGAACAAGTCAGTCTCCCCATCCTCGGGCAGGAGGGGTTGTTCCAGAGTTTGCCATTGTTGGCCTTGCTGCTGGTTACACCGTGAGTAACGTTGAAGCCATGAAGGGGGAGCTAAAGTTGAACTGGGGGCAGGTGATGAACATTCAAGACTAGAATGATGTTAGAAAACATCCTTTGCTCTTGGCTGAGCAAATGTCTTCTAACTTTGTGTATGTTACTTCCTAATTTTAGAAACGAACCTTTTGCAAAGGGTTGCCAGTTAAATAATGCATCATTCCCTGACAGGTGACACTGTACTGTGGTTAATGTATGATCTTGTTGCAGTCTATTTATTGGAGACAATCGATAAAGAGAGCTCCAACTGTATATAATTTAGCCGTGCAGGGGCACCAGTTTTGTCAGGCTGAAGTTGAAATGTGTGAGCTCAAAATCACATGCACACACTCCACATGTTGTAATCCGAGTTGTTAAATAACCTATGTGTTTCTTTTTATGTAAACTCTCAGCTGAAACAATGCCACGCAATGTCAAAATTGCTATGCTCTCAGCACCCTAGTCAACCAGTCACTCAGCAGCCGGTTTTTATGGGTGAATAATGAAGCTTCAGATAATATGTGCATCTCTGAGATTTTACAAAAGATACTAACGTTTTTCCTTTAGGCTACTAGGATTTCTACATCTGTATGACAGTTGACATTTGTACACACTAAAACTTGAGTGTGGTGTTCCAGTTGGTCAGGACTACTGAGGTCTGGTTTAACACTTTCAGTTCTCCCTGTTCGTGGTTCCTCTCTTGCCACCATCTTTCTGTCCCTGTCTAGCATTGTACTCTCTTTACCTGTGACTTCTCTCCCAGGAGTACCACTGGCCCATTATATGTTTCCCTGTTACAACAATCTATGATCAGTCCCTCTCCTTGTTTTTACTGGATGCTTCACTCAGTAAAAACAGAGCAATCTCCAGTTACTGCAGAACTGACACTGGAGATAAGTGTGATTCCCATAAAATTAGATGCTAGGGGAGAGCCTCAGATGTTAACTGTAACTGAATAGATTTAGGAACACTGTTGCTGGCACTTTAAAATGCTAGATCCGCTGAGCTGCTGATTCCAGTTCGTTTATGCTTGTTCAATACACCCCAAGGCAAAGGTGCAAATGCAGCGCAGATCACAAGATGAAATGCATGCACCTTGTCTCAGTATCTACTATATATTAGCTCATGTTAGAAAACCACCATGTAGTTGGGCATCTTAGAAGCATCGACTCATGAAGCACCCGTTGGTTTTGGTTTTAGGTATCATAGCTTCCTGTCTGTTATTTCTTATCCCAAGTCTCCCACAAAGATTTATGTATTCCGTTTATTAATATATCAAAATTGTACACTATGCAGCTACCCATCCCTTTGTTGAATGCTGATGAGAAACATTCCATGTTCCCGAAGGCTTCATATAAATAAAACAAGACAAATGCAAGATGAGGTGCAGGACAGCTGCTAAGCACAGATGAAAGGATAGATGTAAGATGGTTGCATCAGTGGGTGGTGATATAAAGGGTACTCTCAAATTCCCTAGCAATGCAGTAGAACAGGTGGGAGAGACAGCTGTTTCTAAAGAGGTTTTTTTATAATTTCTTTTATCATCTTGCATGAGCCTTGAGACATCCAGTCTGGCAAGCTGGTTTGTGAAAATTTGTTTTAGGAATTTCTTAAGAAGCATATCAGTTGATCTGAATCCCTCAAACTTCTCCAATCCCTCTTATTTCCTCCTTGATTTCTTTGGGAAATAGTTTTTTCTTTTTAAGTTTTAAAAGACTAGTTCTTTCTAGAAAGTATTTTTGCCTTTCGTATCTCTTTTGCCTTTCGTATCTCTTTTCATAGCACTGTGCCAAACACAGCTAAACTGAACTTCTGCAAAAAGATTAATAAATGGCATTTGCACTCATTTATAGATCAGAAGCTTTAAGAAGAGGATTTACGAGCTACTCAACTCAACTGAATAGAAATTGTAACCTGTGTTGAAGTCACAAGTCCAGTGTTCAGCTTCTGGAAAGTTGTAGGAGGAGCTTGCAGGAGGACAAGATGAAGACTGAGTTGTGAAAGAACATCAGTTATGATGAAAGAGTGAAAATTTTTTGTTTTGTCAGAGGTGAGGATTGAAACATGCTAGGAGCCTCCAAATATTTGGAGGAGTTTGCTGTGAAGAGGAAGACTTTTCCGTAAGCCCACCGGGAAGAGAACAGCGTTGTACCAGGGGGGTGCATGATTACATATTAAGAAAGTCTTTCTAACTTTCAGAACAGTTAGCAGTGTTACAAAATGCTGAAGATGTTGGATCTCTGAACTTAGTGATTTTTAAGAACAGGTTACACAGATGTCTTATAAATTATTTAAGTGTTGTTTGCGCTGCTTTTG